AAAAAAATCTAATCTGTTGTAATAACCATGCAACTGTTTGCCATTTCTGGGCAGAGGGCTTTAATATTAAGTCCTTATTAGGATAGAATTTGAGGTTGAACACGAGAGATGAGAATATAAAGACAGAGTAGTACATAAAATCTTCAACTTCTTAACGTCAACTGATATGAAGTATTGACAGTGCTTTTCTTTTTAAAATTAAAAAGATTTGGACACGGATTTGTACATATTTACTAGTACTTAGGATGATAATTTGATACAGGTATATAATATAATAAATCAGGGCAATTAATATTTAAACATCCTCACATAATTAAAAAAATATTTTGAGACAGGGTCTTGTTATGTAGCTCAGGTTGGCCTTAAACTCACTATGTAGTCCTGGCTGGCCTCACACTCATGGTGATCCTCCTGCCTCAGCTTCTTAAGTGCTGGGATTACAGATATGCACCACCATACCCAGCTTCTCCTCAAATATTTTAAAGTACTTTCTCTATATTATAAAGAAGGTAGAGCCAGGGATACAGCTCAGAGGCACAGTGCCTGCCTGGCAAGCACAAGGTCCTGAGTTTGACTCCTGGTCTCCCCCCCACAAAAAAGGTAATTATTCCATTAACATTGGCTAGTGATTTCTCCCGAAGTATTCATACCACGAAAACAATAGATCTTACAGATTGAGTTGGTGGCAAGATAATGTATTTTTAAAAAGCACTCAAGCTGGGCGTGGTGGCATATGCCTGTAATCTCAGCACTTGGGAGGCTGAGGCAGGAGGATCGCTGCAAGTTCAGGACCAGCCTGGGCTACAAATGAGTTCAAGGCCAGCCTGAACTGCATAGTGAGACTCTGTCTCAAAAAGATAAAAAAAAAAAACAACCCAACCAACCAAACAAAAAAACCCAAATAGAAAGAACTCAAGCTTTTGAGTTTATTATCTGTTACTCGGTACACTGAGGTATATGGTACCACTTCTCCATGCACACAGATGTTACCTGTTGCCACATAACTATCACCCTAAAACAGTGGCTTAGCTGGGCTTGGTGGTACCCGCCTGTAATCCCAGCACTCTTGAAGGCTGAGATTGGACGATCTCAAGTTCAAATCCAACCTGAGCAACTTGGTGGCTTTGTGAGATCCTGTCTCAAAATAAAAAAAAAATAATAAGAGTGATCGGGGATGTAGCTCAGGGCAAAGGCCCTGAGATCAATGTTTTGTACTGAAAAAAAAATTCTCCAAAAACAAAACAAAGCAACAACAACAAACTCAGTGTTTTAAAACAACAAGAATTTACCATGTTCTGGACTGCCATGTGTTTCCCCCAAATTCATACACTGATGCCTTAAGCCCAAGGGGGTCTGTGTTTGGAAACAGAGCCTTTAATGTGGTTCTCACAGTGATCAAGGTCAGAGGGTGACCCGCACCCAGCAGGACTGTATCTGTATAAAAAGGGGAAGACGGACACCAGCGATGTCTGCACACACAGGAAGGGACCCAGCCCACAGCTCTGTGTTATTACAGTGAAATGCCTGACGCAGATGACTTAGGAAGCACAGCAAGGTTTCCTTCACTTATGGTACGAAGGTCCAGTCCAAGGTCAGGCAGAGGCACTGGCTGGGACCTCTGATGGCGACGGCACCTCACAGGGTGGATCCTAGCCAGCCCTGACTGCGGCCGGGAAGCAGAGAGGGAGGGCCAGGGGCAGGTCCCCAGTCCCAGTCCCTTTCCCGCACACCTCCAAATATTTTCCCCCTGAGGGCCAATCCTCCGCACACACCACTATCCTATAAACACCACTTAAAGAAATCCCTTCCAAGATCAGAATGTGACACCTTTTCCCTGCTCACTACAACTGCTCCTTCAGGAATGTTTGAATCTGCTCCCATTGATATCTCGAGGCTTCTACCTGCAGCCCCAGCCCGTCCTTCCTGTCAAGACTCTTGAAAGTGTTTCCCGGGAGGCGCCATGTCTTTACCCGTTAGTCATTCGGCCCACTTTTTATGGCTTCTGCCCTTGGCCATGCAGTGATCAAGAACAAACCCTGGCCAAGGTCACAATGACTTCAGTCCCGGCTCCCACGGCCAGCCCGCCCGTTTGACGTCACCAGCCTCTCCCTGCAAAGGCGAAGGTACAATGACACATTCCTTTTGCCTCTGTAATACTGTGCCCCTGCTTTTCCGGCTGTTTCCCATGCAATTCTGCACGGTTTCTTCTTTGCTTACTCCTGAGACGGTGTGTTCCTCTGGCTCACTCACACTTTAATTCTCTGGGTTTTTTCATCTGCGTCCTGGTGTCCATGATCTTCGTATCCAGCTGCAGGGCACGCATCCAGTCAGCCTTTTTTTTTGTTGTTTTTTTTTTTCCAGTACCGGGAATCGAACTCATGACCTCGCGCTTGCCAGGCAGGCGCTGTGCCGCTGAGCTAAATCCCCAGCCCCCCAGTCAGCCTTTGGACATCTTCATCTGAATGTGCGTGCCACGGGCATTTGTTATACCACCCCCACCTGGGCACCCCCGGGCACCACCCCTACGGCCCACTCCTCTTCTCTCTCCCAGCCAATGGACCCCGCATGCATCCGGGCATCCAAGGCAGCTGATACAAATCCCACTTCCTTTCTCTCTGGCCCTTGCCCTCACCTGACAGGATGGCGCCTCTCCCCCTAGGACCCAAGCCTGCAGGTACTGGCACACAACGATTTACCTGCCTGTCCCCCAAGTGGACAGGGCTCTTTTCTGTGTTCAGTTTGTGGTTATTTTCTGAAACCCTCCTGTGGGTCATGTCCAGGGTTGTTAATCAGGTGATGAATAAAACAACGCTGTCCCTCAGCACAACACACCGACTTGCTGTTACCCCGTCACCCACGCCAGCACTGTGCCCGGCACGCAGCGGGCACCTGATGAGGATCTGCTGACCAAATCAATGGTCGTGTGAGTGCCGTCTGCAAAAAGTGGTTCCCTCCTCACCCCCTTTCACATTCTAGAACAACGCTCATGGGAACTGGTTTTAGAGAGGTGCTCTTCATGGTCAGTGTTTACCGTAGCATCTTTACACTGAAAAGCAGAGGTAAATTATATGAAAATGTTTTTTAGGCCTTTGGAAATCTTTAGGAAACTCACATCTCTCCATGAAGATTATGATGGTAGCAAAACTTATAAAATCAGTGATGCTTCCAAGGACTTTAGTATATAAAGACACTCAACAAAATACAATTAGGACGACTGTTGTTTTGGGGGCTCATACTCAGGGGCTGCGCATGCTAGGCATGCACCCTACCTCTCAGCTACAGCCCCAGGCCCCCAATCCCATCACAAAGGGAAAAACTGGGTAAGAACCTGAAGCTCCCAGCGGCCTCACAGACAAAAGCAGGGTCTTGGGCTAGAGGAGCAGCCCTTGGAGGCCTCGGGCGATGACGCCGCCCGGTGGGATTCGGGGATTATTTAAGGGCAGGTGTCCAGTGGGGACATCTTCTTCCAATTCTTGAAATAAATCGTTTCAAAATGTAAGTGGGGAGCCGTGGGCGAGCATTCTGATTCTCTGAATCGCCAAGTCCGTGGACACTGTCATCTTGACAAGATCGGGCCTATTTTCCTTTATGGTGGAAGTATACACAGCGTAACGCTAACCCTGGACTCACTTTGGGGTGTACAGTGCAATGCTACTTTTCTTTTTTGAGACGGGTCTCACTAGGTAGTCCAGGCTGGCCTCGAACTCTCGGCGATGCTCCTGCCTTGGGCACCCGAGTGCTGGGATTCCAGGCGTGCGCCGCCACGCCCGCAGTGCCATGGCTTTTAGCTCAGGCACAAGCCATGAAACTGTCACACCGTCCGTCTCCACCGCCTTCTCATCTTCCCAAGCTGCCGCGCCGCGCACCTCCCCCTCTTCCCGTCTCCGAGTGTGACCTCCGCGGGGACCCCCTGGGGGTGGGATCGTCCAGTGCAGCGTCCACAGATTCATTCAGGTTGTCGCGCCCGCCCGAATTTTCTCCCTTTTACAGCCAAGTCACCCTCCACTGTGCACCCGCGGCCCTTGTGGAGTCCCTCTGCTGTCGCACGCTGTCAGCTGCGTTTTGGGGACAGGACACACCTCCTGTCAACGGCTGAGAGAGGAACACGGCAAAGGACACGTGCTCTGCGGCCCCAGGACCACCTCAGCGAGCCTGGAAGGCCCCGTGCCGTGGACCTTGACCAGGGGCCTCAGGCATGTGAACCACCCGTGGTGAAGAACGTTCCCTGTGGTCATGCTCACAGGGAGGATGAGCAGCTGGCCAGGGCCACTCCCGGGGCTCCTCCAGGCAAACTGGGCGCGGCTCCGGGCTAGGACAAGGCTGCTGCGGGAAACACCACAGAATCATGGCACCTTCCTCTACGTCTGGCCGCCTCCATTTCGAGTAACCTGCAGCCAAAGTAACGGCTTTCTCTTTCGATCAGTGTCTCTTCTGAAATGGAGTCAGTCCCTCAGTTATCTCAGTCAACGAGAAGCAGGAGTCGGGGACATTCTACGTCGCCCTCCCCGCCCTTTCCTGGCCTCCCCCAGAACTGGACCTTGGCCCGTCCTTCCCACCTTCCCTCGCCCCTGGTTTCTGCGCAGGTCCGGCCTGAGGCTGGAGGCCAGGAGGAGGGGCGATGCCAGGATCCCACCCGTCGGCCGGGCAGGCATCGCCGCCCAGAGCCTCACCTCCTCCCTGGCGCCACCTCCCGCCGCGCAGCCAGGCCAGGGGGACTCTGGCAACACCGACTCCTCTCCCCGCCTGAGTCCTGGGCAGGCCGCCCAGCATCCCCGCTGGAGTCTTTTTTGTTCCATTGTCTCCATAACCAGTGCTTGCTAAACGTCCAGGAAGAGAGCCACGGTCCCGAGAGTCCCAAAGTACAAGTGCATTAAAGAGCAGAGTAAAAGACACAAGAGGAATGGGGAGATCTTCTGCAGATGGAAGGGGAGCAAGAGATGGAGGGAGAGGAGGGACAGGGACAGGGACGTAGAAAGAATGAGGGCGTGCTACGCACAAGCACCAAGGCCCCGCAAGGAACGTGATCATTATGTACTGCAAACATGCCCTGACCCAGGGCCGGGGATGTGGCTCAGCGGCACAAGCACCTGCCTGGCAGGTGCCCATCCTTCCCACCTTCCCTCCCACGCTCCTGAGTTCAATTCCGGATACCAAAAAAAACCCAAAAAAATGCACTAATAAAAATTTTAGAAGATGCGGCTGTTTATGCTCCCGAAGGTGGATGACTTCCTCCTAGCTCCTGCCTCGAGGGGCTGAGCTCTGGACGCCCCAGGACACTCTGCCTTCTTGTCTCTGCTAGACACCTGCCCTCTGCAGGGCCGGCCCCATACCACTTGCGGTGTGTGGCCGCTGCCGTCTCCACCCTGCGTACTCCCAGCCCCAAGCACTGGCTCACCTCCTTTTCTAGAAGCTTCTCCCTTCACTTCCCCCATATTTAAGTCCTTGCAACCACTCCAGGACCAGCTTGGCTGCAGCCCCACTGCCCGCACACCCTTCTCCAACGCCCGCAGGGGCCGACTGTCCGCCCGTCTCCCCCAGCTCACTTCCCAGCCTTCCTGCTCTGGTCGCTGGCCCCGCCGGCGAGGTTTAAAGCTCTGCGAGGCAGGAACAATACCTGCAGCCTGGCCCTGGCCATTTAAAGGGACGCTCTGCCAAGCCTGCCTTAAATCAGACCGTGCTTGAGGGAACAAGAAGAACAGCCGTGCTGTGTCTCCTGCCTGGCCGGCACATCTCCGCCCAGTCTTCTAACAACTGCTGTGGGTTTAACAGTGTCCCCTAAGATGCCTGGCATTCAACCCGCAGTCCCTGTGGCTGCGACCTTATTTGGAAATAGGGTCCTCACTGATGGCAGCTGGAACGAGGTGCGTAGGGTGGTGACCGGCAGACGCAGGCAGGACCGCCACAGGGGGATGGAGGTGGGGGCTGGAGAGAAGCAGCCACAGACCAGGCCACTCCAGGGCACCGGGAGCGGGGAGAGGCAGGGGTGTCCCCTGCAGCACCGGAGGGTGTGACTCCCAAAACCTTGACTTTGATGGTCTCCAGACCTGTGAGCCAGTACATTGCTGCCATCCTAAGGCACCCAGTGTGTGGCACGGTCGTTCCCCATGGCGCAGCCTCCCCACCCGCGGATCCCACCAACTGCCGCCCAGAATCCCTGGGAAAAACCGTCATCTGTCCTGAACCGGTATGTTCTTGTCTGCGGTCCCTAAGCAATAGCGATGGTCTGCACAGCACGGACATCTACGCAGCAATCTGGGTGAGCGGGTGACGGTGGGAAGGGGTCGGGAAGATGGACAGAGGCACCGCTTAGAAAGGGGGCTCAGCACCCGAGGAGCTCGGCACCCCCGGGGTCCTCGGACCGATCCCCTGTGGCTGCGCAGGGACGCAGGAGGAAATGTGCTGTCACAGAAGCCCCGAGCACGACAACGGGATGAAACGGTCCCCGCCGTGCAGCCAGCGTTAATGCCAAGACTCTTACACCCTTGCCGGGCACAGGAATGGCCTGGCCCCTGCAGCGTGTCCCCTGGGCTGAAGAGGCCTGCGGGACGGGGTCGCCGCGCTTGGGGCCTCTGTGTGGATGGGTGGAGCACACAGCAGGGTGGCAAAGCCAGCTTTCCCCATCAGCATGGCCTGGTCCTTCCCAGCCCGTCCTCTGAAGGCCTCAAAGACGCCTGTCACCCTGTTCCATTCTGAAAGGCTGCGCTCAGCCGGGTGTGGTGGCACACATTGTAACCCTGCGCTTAGGAGGCTGAGGCAGGAGGATCGCTGCCAGTTCAAGGCCAGCCTGGGCTACACAGTGAGTTCAAGGCCAGCATGAAGTACATGGCAAGATCCTGTCCCAAACAAAACAAAACAAGGACGTCCTTTCTAAGAATGCACCCCAAGTCACACAGTGTTGGATTTAAAAATTTTTTGTACCAGAAATTGAACTCAGGGCCTTGCGCTTGGATTTCTTTCTTTTTTAAATGAGACAAGGTCTTGCTACATAGTTCTGGGTGGACTTAAACTCACTGTGTGGCCCACGCTGGCCTCAAACTCACAGGGATCCACTTGCCTCAGCCTCCCGAGTGCTGGGATTACAGGTGTGCACCGCCATGCCCAGCAATGCTTGGATTTTTAAATCTTAAAACTCTGTTCCTCTTTTGCTTTGCCTGTGACATTTTACTTTAATAATCAAGGTAAATCCAAATAAACTGTTCCAAGTCTGATTTTCAAGAAGAAGGATGGGGGAGCCCAGTGTGGTGGGGAGTGCCTATAATCCCAGCACTCTGGGAGGCGAAGGTGGGAGGATCGCAAGTTCAAGCCTAGCTTGGGCAACTTCATGACTGAGTGACCCCCTGTTTCAAAATAAAAAAAGGCTGGGGGTGCAGCTCAGCACATCGGTCCTGGGTTCAAACTCCGTAATGAAAAAATAAATAAAAAGAAGCGGGAGGAGAAAACTTCGCGATGGGGCTGTTGCTGCAGCGCTTCCTACGGAGCTGACGTCGCGGTGTTTCCTACACCTGCCATCTTCCCTACCCCACACCCTTGACGCTCTTCCTTGATCCGTGCCTTATGACAAAATAAAGCACAACAGCCAGCAGCGCACAGCCCTGGCCGCGGGCTGAGACAGACTCGGTGTGGGGCAGCAGGGCCCGTCCGCCGGTTGCCCGCCTGCCCGGGAGGAGGGCCCGGACTCACAGTTCTGGGCGTGGCGTGGTGCGTCGGGGAGGCCAGCGGCGGCCGGGCTGGGCTCTGGAAGGCCAGGCAGAAGCGCTGGCCCGTGTCTGGCGGCGAGGAGGCATAGATGCGGTTCTCCAGGCGCTCCGGCTCCTGCTTGTAGGACTCGAGCGGAAACGTGTGCTGCTTGGTCACTTGGGTGGGCGTGGACGGGGAAGAGGAGACGTTGGAGGCTGTGGGGAGACAGAGGCTGTCAGAAGCGCGGCTGGGTGGAGGCGGACATCAGAGGCTCCTCCTCTTCTACAAGCCCAACCCTCCAGGGGCAGCAGTCAGAATCATTCACTCACTCACTCACTCACTCACGCATTCATTCATTCAAGACAGGGCTGCAGTTCAGGCTGGCCTTCAACTCACTATGTAGCCCAGGCTGGCCTTGAACTCGAAGTGAACCTCCTGCCTCAGCCTCCCGAGTGCTAGGAGTACCAGGTGTGTGGCACCACCCTGGCATTAACTTCTTTCTCTTTCATTATTTAGAGAATACTTTATTAGTTTCTGTAATCAAACTCACTAGAGGAGACCTGATGTATTTAAGACACCGTGTTGCCCCTGTACAAATGGGAAAAAAAAACTGAGTTTACCATCTCTAGACCAGGACGGCTATTTATGTACAATGCCAACTCAAAATGGTAATTGGGATAACTTTTTCCAAAATTGACAACACAGTTAAAGTTTCCAAAAATTTACACTTTATATATATGCACATGTATTTATATTTGTGTAAAAAGATCAATAGCAGCAACAGCTTTTCCAAAGTCTGTGGTCATCTGAATAAAATCATAGAGACACGCGGCACACGCCAATAAAAAGGAAGAAAAGAAAAGCCCGACCTGACATTCCTTCGTCCCAGGGAATTTTATAAACCCGCTTCTACTCCCTTAGACTTGTGGGGGCAGAATTTCCCTTGCACCCCAATTGGGCCCTCGGGTCCCCTTGGGGGGATGCTCGCAAGGCCCTGACTTCAGGAGGTGTAACCCTCACCTCCCCTGGTCGGCCCCGTCTCCCGCCACTCGACCAGATCCGCTCGCTCCCGGTGCGGGTGAGAGTGACGCTCCTAAACTCACCCCTGTTTTGAATGTGGGTGTCAAGGTTGCTAAATGTAGGGGCAAACGGGGGCACTGCTGCCCCAGCCCCCACTCTTCCCCTTGCTCGTGGGGAAACTCCTCCTCCCACCTGCTGTGACAGCCACGCGGCTGCTGGCCAGTCAGGCCAAGGGCCACGCTGAGCGGGGGTGGCAGGAGCGGGCGAGGATAAGTGGGGCCAGTCTCACCCTTCTGCCTCGTGGGAGAAGCTGGACAAGATCAACACGCACTGCAAAACCCACCGCCTCACCCCAACCATGGAGCACCCAACGCATGCGGCACAGAAGCAAGAGGAGCCCGGAGGACAGCGGCAGGTCTGCGGCCGGGAGGACGTGGTGGAGGGCTCACAGAAACGCCAACGAGCCCTCTCTGCCCTGGGAAGTGAACGTCTCTGCTCCCGAGGCAGGCGACTTCCTGAAGGCCTAGACAGGACTGGGCGGTGGAGCAGCAGCCTTGGAACAGGCTGTAGCACACAGAGGTCCTCCGACGTCGTCTTCCGAGACCCCCTTCCTCCGTGTGGGGCTGCCTCTGGCCCGAGGGTGAACAATACCTCTGATTCTCCAGGGCCACAGCCAAGGCCCGTGAATAGCCCCAGTGAGTGACAGAAACTGCCCCTGGCAGCCACACAGACCCCACACCAGTGGCGCCAGACACCAGGGAGCCACGAGCTGGTGACGTCACAGGGCCTGGCTGTCCATGCTGGTGGGAGCTGTGTCTGCAAAAATGTGGAGAAAAGAGGACAGAGGTGCCACTGGCCAGAAGCAAGCGCCAGCCTACAGAACAGCCAGGCAGGGTGGAAACGAGGCTGGATATCAGAGGCCCACGCTTAGGCTGGGTTTGTCCGCTTGCCAGCTGTGGGCCCCAGAGCAAAGCCACCCCTCGCCTTGGCAAGAGCACACCAGGTAGACCAGATGGCCATATGTGCTGTCGCCCCTCTTCAGAGTAAAAGAAAAGCTGGGGCCACCGAGCCTTTGCATGCACAGGGGCTGTGACGACAAGGAGGACCGAACTGTTCCGGGACACATGGAGAAGAGTCGGTTGGCAGTTGATGCTGGCTGGCAGTTGTTTATGTGGTTGTTTACTCATTAACCACTTATCACAGAGAATCAGCAGTGTATGCAGCTGGGATGTGGGGTGGGGTGTGACTATAGGACCAGCCCCTGGGTGTCTGCTGGCTCAGGACATCTTCTCTCAAGGGGTGCAGTCTCAGGTGATTGTGATGGCTGTGTCATCACAGAATCCCAAGGGTGGGATACAGAACCCACCGGGGTAGACCTGAGGTAGTCAAGACACAGGCCATGTCCCCCTCTGCCCCGCCATGCTGTTTTTGCTTTGGAGCCAGCTGACCATGGACTGAATCTTCTAAAAATGTGAGCCATATTAAACCTTTCCCGGGCCTGGGGATTTAGCTCAGCGGCACAGTGCCTGCCTGGCAAGTAAAAGGTTGTGAGTTCGATTCCCGGTACTGGAAAAAAAACAAAAAACAAACAAACAAACAAACAGACTTTCCTGTTAAAGAAAAGGTTTTGGGGGTGCTGGGTACTTGGATCATGATAATAAACAAAATTTTGGTCATCAGCAATAAAGGGCTGACTAATACATGTAGTAGAAGAGGACTTATTAGAGAAATCAGGCAGGACATAGAAGGACCTAGCGTATTAAATCAGTTTGCTCTGATTTGCACTTATAAGCTCTCATCCCTGAATCCCACCAGTGACTCCTGTTGCTATTGGATACTTGAGCACATCCTCTGGTTCAGCTGGACGGTGACCACAGCTCTGTCCTGCCCCGTGGGTTCCCTCAGATGCTGCCATGCTCCTGCCCAGGTCCCAGGTCAACGAGGCCAAAGGTTGAGTCAGGTTCAGATCCAGGGCTGGTCAGCATCTAGGTCACAGAGCAGGTCCTTGGGCTACCAGCCTCAGTCAAGGGTATGTCTCGGGCACACTGGGCAAGGAGGTGCCTGAACCTGGCTAGACTCTATCAGGCAGGTCTCAGGCACCTGGGACATACAGCTGCAATGCAGGCTGCAGTACCAAGGCCAGCTGTGTCTCCTCTGAATTCCAAGAGGGCCACAGGTCACCTCCTGTAAGCGCCACACAGCAAACTGCCTAGCCAGTGCCTGCCAGGAGGAATCTGACCCAGAGCTGTCCACAGGCTGGACAGGGCAGAGGGGTCCTGGCCAGTGGAATGACGAGGTGGGGACTCTGGAAGGAATCTCCACAGCTCCCGTTCCCTGCCGGGCCAAGATCACCTGGAGCTTTGAGATTCCACGATTGGGGCCCCGAGATGGGTTGAGTGGGGCTGGGTGGGTCCTGGGGAGCTGAGTTTTTAAGGTGCTGCAGCTGGTTTTGGCATCATTGATTGCACCCAGCTCCCTCATTTCACAGGTAAGGAACTTCGTCAGCAATTGCTAGTCCCCCCACGGTCCTCGGCCCTCAGCTCTTTCTCACAGCTCCCTTCTTCTCCGAGGAGAGAGCCAGGTGTCTTCTTTCTGACTTCCAAACTCCCTGCACATGGAAGCAACCCTTCCTGCAGCCAAGGACAACCGTGTTCAGAGAATCCCTGACGCACACTTCCTCCCTGGGCCCGAGGTGCCAGCCCGTTGTCCTGAATTTCCCTGCAGCTTCCCAGCTGCTTTGAGAATGTCATCATTCACATCTAGATGTCCCTCTAAAGCCTCCTGCGATCATGGGAAGGATCTCTGGAAGGTGACCGATCATGGGGCTTACAGCTGACTTGCTGACAGGCAGAGGGCCTGGTTGGAAAAGGCAGTCTATCTCTCTTCCAGCTCCTCCCTCGACCCTCTTTGCTTCCTGTCTGCCATGAGGTGAGCAGCTTTTCCTCCACTAGGCCCCTCTGCCCAGCTGCCCTGCCTTGGAACCAGCTGAATATGGACTGAACCCTCTATGAACCGTGAGCCAAAATATAAACCCTCTCCCTTTAACGTGGGGGTGTCACGTATTTTGTCCCGATCCTGCTCGGAATGCTGCAGTACCACCCACTTCCCGGGAGCCAAGTGTCCTCCCCATCCACCCCACCCCGCCAGGCCCCTCTCTCAGGGGCGGGGTCTCCAGGCTCTTGTTGCAGGGCTGGCACAGATGTCTGCATAACCCATGGCATCGGGCCCTCCTGACCTCGCTGTCAGTTCCCGTATTAAATCAGAGTTAGGCTTTGGCTGCAGCTTTGCTTATTGGCCCTAAAAAGTTTTACAGTCTTATCACTGAAACTGTTCCAAATGCACTGGAAACAGCTGGGTTACTTTAGAGTCAAAAGATGACGGTAACACAAGGTAAAAACTTCCTTCTGTTAGAAAACAAAATAAAACATGCTTCTTTCATGACATTTCCTCCCATCTAAATCCTAAGCAGGCCCAACCCTGCTTATCTCATCTTCTGAGATCAGGCACGTTCAGGGTGGCAAGGCCAGAGACTTTCTAGGACATTTTTTGAAGTTTTTATTCTCCTAAAAGGAAGTCAGGAGAAAAAAAAAGTTCCATGGGGCTTTGTGTACCCACTAGCGTTATGCAGCCCATCAGTTAACAGGTAGCTCTGGGTAACAACATTTTCTGCTTTTCAGACTTTGCCCCGAGAGAGCGGGGTGGGGTGGCTGGGGAGGGCACTTGGCTCCCGGGAAGTGGGTGGTATGACACCCCCACGTCAAAGGAAGAGGGTTTATTTTGGTTCACAGTTCCTAGAGGGTTCAGCAAAACAAAACAGAGGGAAACTGAGGTTTGGAGAAGGAGATGGGGATCTCGCAGGGCTAACTTCGGGGCAGTCCCGGCCCACCGTCCTGGCCTCCGTGGTCCGCCCTGGTTTTCAGAAGAACTGTACCCTCTTTGAGCTCAGCTGGAGGTCAGAGCTCCATTCCACGGACCAACATAACCCAGATACTCACCGAGCAGAGGAAACGGCAGAGTATTGGGAAGCTGAGGCCAAAGGGAAGGGAGGAGAGGAACACCCCATGAGTGGCTTTGGAAGCCATTCAGGAACAGGCTATTTATAGTATGAAATGGTTCTGAAAACTAATTTGCTAAGAATGGAGGGGCCATGTTAGTGCCCGAGCCCCTCCGGTTGTGGGTACTTATGGAATCACCC